ATCTATCTATCTATCTATCTATCTATCTATCTATCTATCTATCTATCTGTCTGTCTGTCTGTCTGTCTGTCTGTCTGTCCGTCCATGTGTCTTTCGTACTGTCTATCTGTCTATCTATCAATGGCACATTGTGGGGACTGATAGCTTCTTGTGGGGCTCGGTACCTGGACCCCGGGGAATTGCTGTTTGGTCTGGGGGCACACTAAGGAATAAGGAATAAGCGGGAGAAAATGGATGAATGACTAAGTTGTTGTTTTTTTGTATTGTAGATAATTTGATTTGATTCAATAATCCTTTATTAATAAAATGGAAAATACAATAAAAAAATTACAGGGGTTTCTATGGCTACAAAGAGCAAGGATCTTAGTTAGCTGTCTGTCTTACAGTGGCTCAATAGAGACCTCTGTTGTTCTGTGTCAGTCTGATATAGAGGATGCTCAGAGGATGCTTTATTTGTTATATTACATCTCCAGAGCCTCTAGAGGAGTTTTCCGGAACCGAATTACCCTTCTCTATCAGCTTGGCTAACTTTATGAGCTGCTGTTTCTACAAATGATCACATAAATAAAGACACAATGCAACAAATGTCTATAGTCTCTATATGCTCATCCAGAACAAGCTAATCCTGCAAAGTTAGTGACTGGATGCAATCTGCTGGAATTCCTTAGATAGAAAACTTTTAACCAATAAGAAATTATGACTTGAATAAATTGTCTTTCTAGAGTATATTAAGGTGACGTGTGTTGTGAATTGGTGCAAAAGAAATAAACAGACTAGAATGAGAGATCCATGAGTGTTTGTAGCATGATGCTGCATGAGACTGTTGTGGGAAGTGTGATCTCTTCTATGCTTCCTCAAGATGTCCAGGTGAACAGCAACATATTTGTACTGTAACTTCCATAATCATCGGGGTTGGTTTAAGAGGTTACAGCTTCACATTTATGAAAACTAGCTTGCATAGAGCAATCAGAGTATGTACGGGCCTCTACTTGAATCCATGAAATTAATTAAGGTTCTACCTCTCTGCAGTCAGCTCTAATTTCCTCTACAGTTAAACCAAACAAAACAAAAATCCAGGTGAGCGGAGACGTTTTTGTATGCACCATAATTAAAATGTTCTAAAAACCTCTGTGAAACATGGCGTTTTAGGTTCCCTCACAACACTGCTGCACAGAAGCAAAGCCTTAACAAGCTGAACATCCATCCTGTGACAGAGAGGGCAAAAAGTTAAGCGGCTTAGTAGACAGAAAAAGCAGCTTCATGTTCATACATGGCTGAGATAATCTGGTCCCTTAATAACAAATCTCCTCCTAATTTTGTGATATAATCAAAACACTGATCAACCTATAATATTGCCACAGACGGGGCTGGACCACACCGGGAAATGTTGTGCACCGGGCCTGGAGGCTCAGTAAAGGTTAACTCTAACCGACAGTATGGTATAATGAATTCTGATGACAGTAGTTATTAGAAGAGGTGAGCCAAGGTCACAGCTGATGATTGAAATATCTGAAATAGTCATCATCACAATGAATGAGCATCGAGAGAACAGTGACAAACATTTATATCCATCAACACAAATTTGTTTTATAATGAGAGCTAACTTTGTACTTCTTCTTGTTAAAGAAAAGGAATCTCAGTTTTTCCATGATTAACTGAAGCCCTTTTTAAAAAAAAGCGTCATATCTAAAATATAATTTTACCTCTCTTCATGTATTTCAGGCTTCATTCCCAGGGATTTCACCCCCCCATTATTTTTGCAAACAAAGAATACGCTTTGTAAATGTAAAAAAAAAAAAAAAAAAGAATTAAATGAAATTTAAAACAGGATTTGAATGTACGTTTTGCCTTTTTCTTTTTAATTTTCCAAATTACCTTTTATGATAAATGCTTTAATGTTTTTTGTGAAATTGCATCTTTTCAATCGTTTTTATTCTTTTTTTCCTAATTTATATTTTCAAATTAAATTTTTTTTCAATTCAGTTTATTTATATAGCGCCAATTCACAACACATGTCATCTCAAGGCACTTTAGAGAGAAAACTCAACCAGATCATATAGTCAGGTTGGTTCTAAGTTTCCTTTCTATGGAAAACCATCTAAGGGCATCGACTCAGTGACTCAAAGGCAATCCCTCACACCATTCTTGTAGCGACAGTGGAGAGGAAAAACTCTCTTTTAACAGGAAGAAACCTCCAGCAGAACCAGGCTCAGTGTAAGCGTCCATCTGCTGAGGCCGACTGGGTGAACCCCAGAAAACAGCAGAGATACAGAAGGCAACTGTCAACCAGCTTCACAGCGGCCCTGTCCAGGAAAGATAAAGCCAGGCAAAAGAGTTCTGAGTCAGCTCCCATGTCAGAGGATAAAGAGAGCTCATCCAGTCAGTCACAGTCAGAGAAACAGGACTACACTAAAAACAGGCCAAACTCCAACATCTATAAAGAAAGGTGTTGATTGCTGATATTTCTCTCAAGGATGGTGTCACAGCCAAACAGGAAGAAACCAAGTTAAGCTAATATGAGAAAAAGCAGAGAGAGCATAATGTTAGAGATTGAACTACCTAATACTGCAGAATATTAGAATAGAGATGCATTGATGAAGTGGAGTTTCTCCTTTTCCGATTGAGTTTTGGAAATTGCATA